CTCCGCCAGTTGCTAGGTGACGAACAACCGTGGCTTGCATTGGTCGAGTGGGGGTCCCGGAGCGGCCTCCTAATCTCCAAAAAAACCTGCAGAAAGAGAACCTTTTCCCTGGAGCCCCAGCGCTAGGCGGGCACAGCTGCGACTGAGGCACCTGTTACGCCCTGTGGTTCACCCGGCCCAGCCCTGTTCCCCGCCCCCTCCACTCCTGGGGGCCCCCTGGGGGCAGGGCGCTCGGGCTGCCTCGAGCAAGTTCTGTGATCCCCACCCCGCCTCTGAGTCCCTGCTCCCATCCTAGGAGCAAAAGGCGAAGCTCCCAGAAGAGCCACGTGGAGGAATGAACCAGACACCAGCAGGCACCAGAATTAGCTTAGACTCTAGGGAAAGGGAGGTTCGTGCCTCGGGAATGGTGGGGGCGAACAACCCAAAGAGAGACAGTCCGTGGAAGACGAAGGCAGAGGAAGGGACCTAGGCGGAAAAAGAACAGGCGTTCGCGAACCAGAAGTTTGTGCAGAAATGTCCCACCGCACTCAGCAAAATACGTGCGAAGATAATTACACGGCTGCTGAGGGTGGCCAGGGTTCGGTCCAGCTACTTCCCCGATCAGCCTGTGTGAGCCTAAAATTCCCCAGGGAAGGGAAGATGTAAGATGGAGAAAAGGCAGGAGGTGAGTTGGGTTATAAACACAAAGTACTTATTACTCAAATGGAGAAAAACAGGTTTGGCATTTTCAGGATGCTCCTGAGGGCACTTTGGAATCAAAACAATAGATGAGAACGTAGAAATGTACTGTAAAACAGGAGGAGGACTGCCCGCCCCAATTTAGGGGATCCAAGATCCCCTAATCTTGGATGAAAGAGCAGAGCAAGGTAAGAAAATGAGTGGGCCATATTGACCACTTCAGAGCCCGAGGGAATCTTTCTCTTTGCCTTGAGTCTAAGTTTAGGACAAGAGGCTGTGGAATGACAACCACAACCCAGTTAGGGCCTATGGTAAGGACGTTTTGCGCAGGGCTGGGCTAGGGAGAAACCAGATACTGCCAAGAATTACCTCCCTCCCTAATCCAGACAACTGATTGGAGCTGAGGGGTTTCCCCTGCTCCCGAGGCGGGCTTGGAAAGGTCCACAAAATAACCACAGTTTTTTCCATCTCAAGAAACAGATTCACAGTTGTCCTTTGACATAGCATTGAAGGCTTCATTTGACCATTTCACTTGTAGTCAAAAACGCAGAGCTCTCCCCCTGATTAACTAGTACCATCAGTTCAATAAGCAAGGCCTGATGTGTCCTATTATGACCTTACCATTAGCAATCATATTTTCTGAAAGTTTGGAAAGGGCTGAGATGATTTCTAGGAAATTTGCCCCCCCCCAGTCGTGTATAACCAACATCCTATCAGATATAGGAGGCAAGATAATTTGACTAGAGCCTGAAAGTAGCCTAAGGGCCTTTTAGCCCAGGGTTGAAACAAATTTGGCCTCATAGAAATTTGCTATGGTAAAGAAACAAGAAAGATGGTGGACGTGGTGGTGCAGGCCTATAATATCAGTACTCTTTCTGGGAGGCTGAGGCAGGAGGATTGCAGTTCAAATTCAGTCTGTGCAATTAGCAATTTAGCAAGACCTTCTCTCAAAAATTAAAGAAGGTCTGAGATGGAGCTCAGAGTGAAGGCTCTGGGTTCAACTCCCCCCCCCCAGTAGCAGAAAAGATTTTTTTAAAAATTATTATTATATATATTTTTTTTTGTACTGGGGATTGAATTTGGGATTTGTACTTGTGAGGCAGGCCACCAAACCGCTGAACTAAATCCCCGGCTCTGAACTTTTCTTAAAAAGCTTTACTTTGGGCTACTGTACTCTCTTTAGCAACACTGACAAGGTAGCAAAATGCTGTCTCATTGTTCTTTAACCTTATTGGGCAGACTCCTACCTCAGAACCTTTGCAGCAGCTATCACATCTGACTGCTTTTTCCTTTGGCGTTACTTCTTTCTCCCCTTTTGAAGTCCATTTTTGTGAGATCCAGCCTTTTATACAATCTTCAGCAGTAATTTATAACTTATACTTCATTTATTTTGGTGGCCTGTTTGGCTTTCCACTAGAATGTAAGCAGGAAAGGAGATTTTATTGGTTATGGTCGTTAACACATCCCCAGTGCCTGTTACTGTGGTTGTGGCTGGTGCTCAACAATTACATGGTAACGAAACAAATTTATAACTTCAAATGAGTATTGTTTTTATTTCAAAGTAAGCACCTTAGTAGGCTGTACACATGTTCCAGTGCTGTTGCTCAATGCGTGTCATGTCTGTAAGCACAGAATTTGTTGAAAACAATTTTGAGAACATGTCTGAGTTTTAAAACAATCTAAAGTCATTCAGAGCCAAACTGGATGACAACATTGTGGTACCAACTGTTAAAATGCCAAATCTCTGTTTTTCCTAAGAAATTATTGCATAAGGGTAGGCAGAAAAGGTCAAAAGTAGGATGTGCTTCATTGTCTAAGAGCGGTAGAAAATTGACTCTGAACATAATGTGAAAGAGGAGTTCTACTAATGCACACCAGTAACCAGTAGCAAAATAAGTACTGTGTGTTACCATTTTTTTGTCTTAAAATGTATATATTTCTATATGTGAATGAATCTCTTTCAAAAGTGAAAATGAGTTCCCCTTTGCCCCCAGTTAGGAACCTTCCTTCACTGGCCTCTCATTGTGTTTAGTATGCAGCAGAACTTCCTTTCCTACTGGGTCCTGACTAGCATATGAATCCATCCCCCTCTGGGAACTCTCATTCTGCAGAAAGTACCAGCCATAGAGAGCCCCCCTCAGTACCATGGCCTTTTCTGCACTTGTCATTTGGTCTTTGTCTTAGTTTTCTGTCACTGAGAGAACCAATTCCCTCAGTACCATGGCCTTTTCTGCACTTGTCATTTGGTCTTTGTCTTAGTTTTCTGTCACTGAACCAACTTAAAAGGCAGAAAGGTTTATTTTGGCTTACACTTTCAGAGGTTTCAGTCCATGGTCAGTCGGCCCATTGCTTTGGCACGTTTGACTAGGAAGAATAGCATGGTGAGTGTGTGGTGCCCAGGAAGCAGAAACAGAAGGGGACAATTGGGTGTTCCAATACCACCTCCAAGAGAACCCCCCTACCTTGCAGTGACCTAATGGAACCCAACTCGCAAGACTTCCACAACTCTCAGTAGTACCACGGGCTAAGGAACAAGCTTTTAATTTATGGGCTTTTAGGAGATAGTTTAGATCCAAACTATAGCAGTCTTCTTGAAAACCTCACAAAGCTTCAAGACTGATTTTTTTTTTAATCATTCACAGCCCACCTCCATATATAAAGCAACCTTCTTAGGCTTGGTTTTTTTTTCTTCCCTTGCTTGTAGACTTGTCTTATATCACTAAAACCCAGGCCCATGGAAGCAATAACTGTATTGGTCATGTTAACTTCTGAAGCCCCAGCTCCTCATGCCTTCACGTAAGTAAACTGACTATTCATTGTGAGATTCAGAGGGAGACAGGGAGGAGGAAAAGAGCATTTGCTTTGCACCTTGTTAATTTCTGCTGTGTATGAATTTCTACAAATAGGTATGATGATTTTAAAATATTTTAATCCTATCAAAATAACTTCTGATCTACCCTATATTCTATTCATGTGCCTTCCTCAGAAGCAAGTGTTTCAAATAACCCTGCAGGCATTCAGGCCGCACAGTTTTTCTTAACATGCATATTCAAATCTGGCTAATACTGAGCAAGCTCATAAGGGCTTACCATCTGGGGCATTTCAATAGCAGTGACTTCTAGAACTACTGAAGTGTATTTCTTGTTAGAGCCTGTATCCTACATCAGATGAGAATGTGGGCTGAGTCACCTCTGCCTAATGATTTATTTTCATTACTTCTGTGTTCTGGCCAGGACTATCTTTGCAGAGATAACAGAGTGGACAAATTAACTCTTACAGGATATAAGCTAGGTGTTGTCATATCCATGACCTCATTTTTAGTTGTAAAATTGATTTAAAAGTATTAATAAATTCACTGCAAAGCAGTATGGGTTCAAGGTGCAAGTGTCTTCAGAGCCTTCTCCATGGGAATATTCTATGGAGGAGGGCTATGGGACAATCTTCACTCTGTAAACCAAGCAATAGTTCTATAAATTAGAAAGCCAGACCACACCCCACTAGATCTCACCCACCTGCAGACCAGACCTCCAGCTCTGCTTTTTGACTTCTAAAATATGGCTTAAAACTTAAGGGGATTTGGCTTCTTTGACTACCTGAGTGAGTCTCTCTCATCTGCGTATCCAAAAATGATTCATTTCTGGCCAGTCTCTCTGGATTTGGGCCAGTAGTAGTAGTTAAAAGGACAGTGTGCGTGTGTGTATGTGTGTGTGTGCGCGCACGCGCGCTGCTTTCAAAGTGCTGGCTGGGTTTGTAAGAAAAAGACAAACTACTGCTGTTACCAGTCTTGCCACTTCCATCAGGTAAAAGCCCAGAAAAGCAAACTGCTCCTCTTCCCTCTCCCAGAGCACCACCCTGTCACAAACAAACATCCAGATCAGCAGATGGATGTCTGGGTGTTTTGTCCTCCTGGCCCTCCCAGTCTTACCGCTTTTGATTTTCATCTGGTCTGCTGAGTGCTTTGCCTTATGATTTGTTTTTGAGTAAGAAAACTAGATGAATTTTATCAACTGCTAACTTATTTGTTCCCAAGTTGACATTTGTCCCCAAATCGATTTTTAAAATATGCCGCGCAAAACTTGATAACACATAAATCACTCAAGAAGTTGATACGGTACTTTCATAGAAAGGTAGTCAGGTGCTAACCAGAGTAGTTCTCAAACTATTTCTAAGACAAAGAGCACACCACCCTTAGTAAATGTGGTATTTATACGTCCAAAGTATGCACACATGAATGCACACATGTACGTGTGCACAATGGGTGAGCAATTTGAACATTCAGGACTGTCATAAATTCTGACATGACACTTCATTGTGTTCATTTCTTGACATCGTACTAGTATTCAGTGGTCTCAGGTGTGATATGACTTCCTTCCTTCTTTTTGACAGGGTCTCCCTGTGTTGTGGAAGCTCCTCTTAACTCCTGGGCTCAAATGAGTCTGCTACCCCAGCCTTCTGAGTAGCTGAGACTACAGGTGCACAACACTACGCTCAGCTTATGATTTTTATAGTTTAACTGAAAACCTGTCGGGGTCTCATGATACAGATTTCTAATATTTCGCTTTTGGAAAAATCATTACCAAACATACATCCTCTCTGGTCTTTCTTCCAGCCATCTTGTTTTTGCTCTGTCTCTTCCCTTGCAGAACACACACACACACATACACAGTTATGTGTATGCCTGCTTACAAAGCTAGCCCTACTCAATTGGCCTCTCTAAACTTTTCTCATACGGAGAAATTTAGCTCATTCTACTATTTTTAAACTTGCTAATTTAAACTGAAATCTTTGTTCAACCAATTAAGGACCTTGCAATGGAGAGGACTATAAATAACCCAAAATATTTTTCAGTTCTACTGAAATCTATTGCAAAACTACGCAACAATTCAGCATTAACTTGAGTGATTCAAACTGATTTAACTCCATACGTAAGCAGCCTTTTATCTCACACTGTCCTAGTTGCTCTCCTCCAACCTGAAATTGACCTCAATAATTTAATGAATGTTTATCGAGTGATTACTGTTATCCAAGCATTGAGGAATATAAAGTAAGAAAAAGTATCTGTTCGCAAAGGTCAGTATCTCCTGTCTTGGCTTGGCCACCCTAATCCATACTGACATTAGTGAGCTCCCAAACCAACCTGGGACACTTTCCTATGAGCATTTTGTTTCTTAAGCAATAAGTTCTTTGTACTCTAAGCCATTATTATTAATTAGGTTGCTGTAATTACAGCCACAATCACTGTCATCTGTTCTCTGAAAAACAGACTCTCATGAAGGCCCTGAGGTGGTGATATTTTATCTTGCTGGTAGAAATGTGATCAAGTATCATAAAGAGGAAATAAGTCAAGTGAGCAAAGTGAGTTAATGAGGCTGCAGTGTAGGACTTAGTAACAAAGGTGGGGATGCAGTTCAGTGGCATAGTGCCTGCCTAGCATGTGTGAGGCCCTGAGCTCCACACCAGCACTTCACAGCAGACAAACAAAAGGAGGACTTATTGATGAAGCACTAATTGAATGGAATAATTAAGAAGCTAGAAAAATATGACCCTCATGTTGTCTTTCTATGGCTATGACAAAATACCTGAGATGATCAGCTTAAAAGGAGGACACATGGTGACATATGGCTGTAATCCCAGGCCTTTGGGAGGCTGAGGCAGGACGATCACACATTTCAACCCAGCCTGCGCAACTTAGTGAGACTGTTTCAAAAGAAAGGGATAAAGAAAGACAATATCACACCAGGGAAACTATTTGGTATGATATTGAATAATCTGAAACACTGCATAAGATTCTAATAAGATTACTGACATTTAGAAATGGGAAGCAAGGAGCTAAAGGTGTAGGGAAGGTGGGATGGGTAGGGGAAGAGTAAAAAGGGAAAAGAAAAAAATGTGAGAAAATGAAAAGATGAAAATAAAGTGTTTGTAGATGAGGAGGGGAGGAGGGGGTGAAGGGAGGGCAGGGACAAGGGGAAAAAATGAGAATCAAGACCTGTCATGCAGAGGTACAAGATCCCAACAATGAATTAACTGTACTGTATCCCCAAAATGTACCAATAAACTCAATTAAAGCTGAAAAAAAAAAAAGACAATATCGATTGGTTTTGGCTCAGTTTCAGAGGTTTCACCCATGGTGAGTCGGCTCCATTGTTTTTGGGCCAGTGGCAAGGCAGAAAATCACAGTGGGGATCACTGGTGGAGCGAGACTGCTAACCTCACCCTGGCCTGGAAGCAGAGTGAGAGGGGTGGGGGGGGGTTGTGGCCCAATATCCCCTGCAAAGGCATGAAAGGCATGCCCTCAGTGACCCAACTTCCTTCCACTGGGCCCCACTTTTGTGTGTGTGTGTGTGTGTGTGTGTGTGTGTGTGTGTGTGTTGAGGCAGGGTCTCACTAGGTAGTTGAGACTGACCTGGAACTCACTATGTAGCCCAGGCTGATCTTGAACTTACAGCGATCCTCCTGCCTCAGCCTCCTGAGTGCTGGCATTACAGGCATGCACCACCGCTCCTGCAAGGCCCCACTTCTGAAAGGTTCTACCACTTCTCAATAGCACCATTAAGCCCTGAAGGTATGAGACTTTTAAGACATTTAAGCTCCAAGCCATAACAGGTCTGTTTATGCTTTGTATTATAAATGTGTGTCTAAGGTATGAATATTTCACTGAATTGTATTTTCTTTCCATATTGTTTTAATTAGGCCAGAAAAATTAAAGCATATGGAAGAACATAATTATTTTGCAAAATGATTTATTGCTATTTTGACATTTTCAGGCCATAGGACTGTTTCCTTGCTAGTAGTTGCCTTACAGAATACGTTATTTTCCAGGAAAACTAAAATATAAATTTTTAAGTGTACTAGTGTTTTAAACTATGATGTTTTTGTATAATGAGTGACATATTTGTAGAAGAAATAACCAAATAACCTCTTTATTATTTATCTATTCTATAAGACCCTATTCTAGTATGCTGGATTTTCCTTAAAAAGTTTTATCTATCATCATTTAAAAGCCAGATTTCTGTGAGATGATTTTAATAAAAGAGTTTTCTGTAGTGTGAATCACACCACAGAAGGCTAAGTTGGTGCCAAGAGCCAGTTTATATCTCTCATTCTACAATTGGCAATTCCATTTTATCACATTTAAATTTCCATTTGATTTTATTATTTATATTTCACCAGGAAAGTTCTTTTTCCTTTTCTACATTCTCAGTGAAGAAGCAGTTTGGAGGCTTCCTTTCTGATGGATTTTATTTCCTGCTTTGTAAATCTTTATCAGTGATGTCATCAAATAATTGCTAACTGAAGTATAGTGGGATAGGTTTTCCTGTGTAATAGTAAGTCAGCCATATAAAATTTCAGATTTTAAAATCTTTCCTATCAATTAAATTGCAGTATTGATTTAAAGTAACAGCTTCCTGTGAGTCGGCCTGTCCCTTTAAGAAGGAAAGCAATTGTGTCCTCCTTGCTGAGCTCTCTTGGATTTATTTTATCTTAGCAGCTGTTCCTGAAGTCAGTGTTATTCAGATGACAGTTTTCAAGCTCTTTATTGTGTTTTTCAACTTGTATATATTACCAAACATAAAACCCAAATTTAGAATGAGGTGTAAGGGTGGAGACAATTAGAGATAGTGGAGAAATAAGATAATATTGGGGGAAATGTCTCTAATTCTGATTTAACGAAGAAAACTATTGAACACGATCTGCTTAAAACCCCAGTAACAGTAGCAAGGCCAAACCCCTGAACATCTAAGCACTAAAAGTTGATGCTATATTTAGCAATAAGTGTGTGGGGGTGGAGGTTA